CAGCTACTCCCTCAAGGATAACATGTCTAGTTTGCATGACCCAATCATCGTCGATGATCGACTCGAGGTACCATGTTGAGAACCGTAGTGTTATTTGATCCGTAGGCAAGCTTTCGATCTTCTTCTCTCACTTCATGACCAGGAGCCAGAAGAGATGCGTGGAAAAGTAGAGCCCAAGGCCATCGTTGACCTGCAGCTAAGCTTGGGAAGGAACCCGGTAGACGGTGGAGCAAACGGGAAGATGAGCGGCGGGGCCGAGGAAGGCGTCAGTCTGCTTTCGCTCTCACTCACTCCGCCCACTGCCATGCAGCAGGAAGAGGAAGGCAGCAGCACGCAGCTCCAGATGAAGTCACTGGAGAGAGGAAGCAGCAAGATGGCCTCTCTGGGCTGAGTACTTTGGATCTGACCATGTTCATTAGGGCATCGGAGTGAGATCTTTCAAGTACTTGTCTCGAGCCTCGCAGTATATATAATATGCACAGCGATAGGTAACGTGGACGGAATAAGTTTGAGCAATATCAACTTAGCTATCATGATAATGAATTCGTCTCAATCTTATCATGCATTCTTGTTTCCTTAATCTACCATTGCATCTAAACTCTTTTTTCCTGTGTTATCTTGTTCTGAATTATTCTAATTAAAATGGAGCCAAATAGCTTAGTTGCATTACATGTTTCTCTTGATTAGCAATACATAAGATACCTAATTGTTTTGTTTCTTACCTCATGATCTTCGATGTGGCTCTTTATCTTGTTCAACTCTTTTTATTTATTGTCATCCATTGATCTCGAAACAAACAATCTTTCTTCACAATACTTATCTGAAGCTGATTAATAATTTTGTTATATTTAATGTTAAGAAGAGAGAGAGAGAGAGGAGAATGCATTTCCATAAAAAGAATAATTACATGCTTCTATGCACTATTTCTTTTGTTGGTTAAAGAGAGAAGAGTAAGCTTTTGCTACATTGGGAAAGAACAGTCGATCTTACATGTCTTTCATCTGCTCTGTTATGGGAGAATGCAGCACCAAATTAGCATTCCCTTACAATTGGAGATACCTAACGACTGTTTGGCTCATTTATGAAAAGCTGAGATTTCTTCTTTGCAAAATGAAATCTAAGACAGGATGGATAGAGCCAAAGATATCACAGTCTGATATGTGTTCGATCTTACGAAGCCACCATGGATACTTCCAGACCTGTAGCATGTTCCAAAAGCATAGTCTGGAATCATGTGTTAGCCTTTGACTAGCATAGAATGTTATCTTAAGAATCAAGTATGAGCTTCGTATGTTTTCTTCTGGTCATTGAGTTTGTCATAGGAGAGGAGCAGTAGGACAAATGATGCATTGTCGAATGCTGCACAGTGTTTTTAGTGAAGATGAAATCATAAGAGAAGCGGCGCTGTGGATCCAAAAGTTGTCAGTGGTATATTCTGAGCTTATTAGTAATCATACGATCTGTTCCATTGAGTGGTGGAACAGAGTCAAAGAAGCTTTGCCTGTGGGGCACACACTGCAACACTGCTCTGTAGCCTTGTTTTAACGATGGCAATGGCTTAGAAGGAAAGCATCAGTCACTGCAGAATGCTTTGGGGTTAACTTGGTTTCAGCTCATGATCTTAATTGAACGAGTCATATGTTTTCTACTGTGTGCGTGTGGCAGATCAAGACATGTCTCCCCGGTGGACTGATCAAACACCCACAGATCGATCTCATTACCTTCTTTTGTTGGTCAAAAGATGGGAGAATGAGTGCCCGGAAACAACTAAAGATTTGCAGGCCACCGCAGCAAAAGAAGATTTAGTGGTTGATTACACTTGAGATCGAGAATGAAGATATGTACAAGATTTTGAGTCTCTCTCTGACTTGTCTTTATCCTTCAAAGGTTGGTCGGTCAGATCTTTCCATTCCTCCTATATAGTGGTAATGAGACTACCAACACAATGCCTCTCTTCTCCTTTCTCGTTGCACCCCAAACAAACAAACACTCCACCATCATGGGGATCAGACATAGTTTAGGGTTTCTGACCTCTCTTCTCATCTTTCTTCTATCTCTTCTCCTCTTCTCTCTCCCTCCTTCCTCCCTCTCCGCTCAAGAAGACGACGCTCGCTCTCCCCTCACCCCACGTGAACGGTACCGCCAAGACTTCCATGTCATGAAGCCGAGGCCTTGGCCTTACCCTTCCAACGATGATCACCTGATCCACGAAGGCGAGAGGAGGATGATGAGAAGAAGAAGAAGAGGAGCAAAGAGGAAGCCTGGCTATGTCGACCTCGGAGCCACGACATTCTCCGCAATGCTCCCACGGGGCTTCGTTCCCCCGTCCGACTCTTCTTGGTGCCACAACGGTGCACCCGATTCCATCAACGTCTACTGCGACCACAAATCCACCTCGAGACCATAATGAAGGAGCAGTCAAAGGTCTCTTTCTTCTACTCGGCTGCCGTCTTGAAATTGCCAGCGACCCTTTCTTCTAGTTTTGGAGCAGTCAAACAGTGATGATGATGTCTTCTCGAGAGTGTAAAGGCGATTTCTTGTTCACGTTTTCTTGAATGATAAGAGGTTAACAACCAAGATTTTGCAGGATAAGATCTAAGAACCCTAAGACATGGTGTTCTTGGCATATCGTTGGTCACACGCTTACATCCTTGGTTTCCTTCCACCTACTAAATGACACCGGCTTTTAAGCAAAAGAGTTGAAATTATAATGATTAAAGACCCACATTTTAGTTTAATGTATGTTGAAATGATATGCACATCTGTTGACCTCATTAGGGGTTCTATATTAATTCTTTTCAATTTAAACATAATCGGTAATTATCAACATTATGTTAAATAAAAAATCATGGCTAAATACTCACATTAGAAAAAATAAATTCAGTGGTAAGTAAATAATTTTTTTAGATAATACATATTTTGACGATCTAAGTTACGGTAGAGATTCGGATCCAACCAAAATTCTTTATAGGTCAATCTCAATTCAGGTCATCGTTTACGAAACGTTGAGTCTAAAAAACTGACTCACACATGATCTTCTCGATAAGACTATTCGAACTTGTTGGATAGTACTCAAGAACGCGCATAAGATCATGATATTTATCGATTTTGTCATACGTGATTGACTTAACCAATCATTTGTATCTCTTGTAATATCGGGTAGTCGATGTATTGGCCACTTGGTGCTAATGTGCCACCATGTCATTCATTATATCTATAAAATAAATTTTTTTTTATATTTATATTATTTTTAATAATTTTAACTTGATTTATTATGTTTAAATTAATTTATTTTATGTGATTTACTTTCGACGAGAAGTGAGAAAAGCACGGAAAAAGGATGTGATAGGATATGGGGTGAAGTGCGGCATCTCCAACCGTTATATATTTCCGTTATAACTGATAAAACGGCCGTTATTTATTCTTGTATCTCATCGAAAGAAGCGCCATCTCCTCGCATCGATCCCCTCGGCTTTCTACTCTTCCATTCGTCTTCCCAGATCCATCGCCTCGGTGTCGTGTTTGGGTCTTCCTCTTATCCCAAGGTGCGCCACCAATCTACACTCGGGCTCTGGTTTGTGATGTATATGTTATGCGATTAATTTCTGGTTAGTTGCATGTTATGCCATTTCGACGCTTGAGTTCGTCGTCATCTTGGAAGCTTCGTGCTTCTGCGATGTAGAGATTTGTGTTTCATGTTGTTCGATAAGCGTATCGGTCATTGCTCGTAAGAAAGCAGGGTTTTCTCCACCGTTTAAGCGGAGAACTCGTTGCATTCTGAAGATCGTTGTTACGGTCGGAGCCAAATCTTTAGCCTTCCGGCGTGTAACCTAATTGCTGCTGCATTGCTTGTTGCTGAATCTTAACACTATGTCAATGTTTGTTTATAGATAAATACAGTGGCAATCATATAATTGAAGATCCAAATTAAAGCTAGTAGGTTGAGGGATTTGCTCTTCATTATAGTAAACCATTTTTCTTGAATTCTGTAAAGTATTTACTCCTCTTTAGTTCTCTAAGCTTGTTTTCGACATCCTTATACAGCACAGATTCAATGAACGGGATCTTGAACTGATCCTGGAGCTTGACAAGTCTAAAGAGACTTCCATATAAGGATAAATATCGGAATATCCATATCTCTTGTTCGGAGATAATAAAGCCTCTTCCTTTATATAAGTTATTCTTTTCACACACACACAAAAGAAAAAAAAAGTAAAAAAGAGGAGAGAAAAAAAGAGAAAGGACCAGACTATATTCAACTAGGGATCTTATCCTTTCTCAACTGGTTTATGGATTCAGCCTCAGTTTTTTAATAACCCCATGAGCAAACTTTCTGTGTCTTGATATTGACACAAAGTGTACCTGACTTGAGTTCCACATACTGTTGTTAGTATTGAGTTGGTGATAGTAATTTAAATAACATAAATATCTTTCTTCAATAGCCATCATCAACTTGCTGTGACCTTTTATAAGGTCAAACAAAGTCCCTCACGTCTCTAGGAGATATAAATGGTCTCCATCTCGTATAACTGCAATGTCATCTATTTCTGCATTATCTTGATTCACCACCTTTCTAGGTTGATGACCGGTGAACTTTTGACCTGCAATTGCGCAAAATTATGCTTGAGACAATACTGTCGCTGGATGATCTTGGTTTAATGGAATGCATATTATAGGCACCAATGTGTTCTAGTTTTGGGTTTAGAAAAGAAAATCTATTAGTAGAGAAAACTAATTTACTGTCCCTGGATATTTTAGCTAAAACAAATAGTACTTACTAGCAATTTCAAAGAGCTCCCCCATAGAACCAGGTAAGTTTATGAGCTTCCTGGTCTGTTCTCTTGTGCTTCTTGACTTTCTTGAAAGCATGTGAATGATGACTCTTTTGCTGGCCATTTGTGCATTATCAGTATCAATTGAGCCGCTTTGAATGTTTAAGCATCCATTTTTCATTCCGTCAGGAAACTTTGAGTGCATAGGTTGCTGGAATGGTTCTTGATCACTTTCAGTTGCCTTTTTCCTGCTAATTGTGTTTTCTTGACTCTCTGTCATGGTCATTCTGTTTTTGTTTCTTAGTGTCAATTTGTGGCAACCATCAGTCTTAACTTCCTCTGTAAACGCTGCTGGTGACCAATTGCTATCATTTAGTTTGACCATGTTTGCTCCTTGATCCAAATTGATGCCTTTATTATATCCCATTTTGTCATCCCTATCAAGTGCTGCATATTTTTCTGCATCAGTTGGACTCATGTCAATTCCATACCTTACTAACTCATAAGATGCATTCAAGCTATCATTCCCTGAAAATGTGCATGCAATATGTCTTCCTTCCATTGATCCCACTGTTTGAGGTTCTTGAACATTGTAATCCTGGCTTGGAGAAGACATGCTCTGATTTTCTCTCTTGAATTTTTCGTCAAGAACTCGTGGGCCATTTTCATCTATTCCAGGAAATGATCTTTGTTCTAATTTCAATTTCTGTAAAATAATATGTATAATTATGAGCTTCTATTTTTATTCAAGAGCTCTTTGCTTGATCAAGAATGTAAACCAAGTAGTACCTGTAAAAGATTGTTCTTAATGGTATTCCCATCTTCTGTATTCTCCTTAATCATGTTCATAAATGTGGTGCTGCTCAACCTTAGAATTTGTGAGAGTTCAACAGAACTTGCAGTAAATGGTTGTGGCATGCAACACAGGATCCCTATCTCCCCAAATACTTCTCCTGCAGCTAGCCTTGCACAAAACTGTAACACGCAGATGCACACTTAGACATTCTTTTAGTATGTATATATTATGGAGAAAAAAAAGAATATTAACATACTCGTTCATTCCCACCAATATTTGATCTCAAATCCTGTGATGAACCCATATCAGCAAAAAGATAAATGTATTTTTTGTAACCTTGAACGATTTTACATGAACACCATGATATTTTAATGGAAACAATCAAAGATTTTTCTTACCACTGCTCCTGATACCAATAGGTAAAGATCTGTTGATGCCTCATTTTGCAGTATTACGTCTTCCCTTGGTGGAAAATACTCGGCTTGCATTTCTGTAACCTATTGCTTGCAAGAACATCATATAATTGTATCAGCAAAGTCGCCAAGATGTTTGTCACTAGAGGCAGGGATGAATGCATACCAGTTGATAAAGGAACTTGAAGGAAACTCCACGGAAAAGGTAGACTTGTTGTACAATTCGAAAGAACAAGTAATATGCTATGCTTGAATGAATACCCTTGGGCAGATCATTCAAGGTTTCTTGCTGTTTTAGTCCCTCTGTTTTGAACCGTAAGCATATGTGTGATAGCATTTGATCCTTGATGCGCTGGGGCAGCTGATTTCTTGCTGCAAACTCCGAAGCAGCTTGGATTGTGTCCCTCTGTTGCATCAAATTTTTGTCATCAGTGGATGAGAAAAGATGGCAATTACCTTAAACAAACCTGAGATATTGATCCTTAAAGTTGCTTTTCTTTACTTTAGCAAGTCATTTACTTTCTAAATGAATGTTTATCAGGTAAAACCTTAGATATAGCCAGTAGATATGTTAGGATAAAGTTACATTCTTAGTTTATGTTACAACAAATTAATTGACTTATTTGAATATCCAAATACAACTGCAAACTCACTCTTATCTACTGAAACTAGTCAATCTATTGGCATTTTTACCGAAAGGAAAAAGAATAACACAAATTAAAGTTCTGCTTTTGTTTGTAATAGAATAGTAAAATATTTCTTGACCTCCTGAGAGCCAATAACCAAGAATCAAGTAGATCTATCCACACCTCATTTGAAAGCAAATGTTTTTCATGTAATGTGCTTAAGTTTAATATTCATGAAATTAAGTAACTCGGTAATTAGGTAACTCGGTATTAAGTGGAAGAAGGAACAACACATACGAAGTTTCTCGTGCGGCTGGTTCCATGTACAACAAGGTTCGTCATGTTTCCAATGAGGTAAGCTGTCAATCCCAAATTAAACATCATGTAGAAGATGTCAACTAGCATTTCTCTTGAGTTCTCAGCATGTAAGTCACCATAACCAGTTGTTGTCAGTGTTGTGATGGACCAGTAAATTGCAGTTACATATCTGGTCCACAGACTTTCTGATCTGAAGTTTGGCATCACTGCACCTATCCATGTTCTCTTTGGATTAGGGTATCGATCAGCAATAAGGTAATTGAAGCATCCGGCACAGTGTACAGCAAAGAGAGTTACCTAAAGCCAAACAAAGAAGTTGCAAGTGAATCATTTACCCACCATAATTGTGTGGACACTGAAAGGAAGTGAAGAACCGGCTGAAAGCTTACTAAGATGAGCTTCGTGCATCGTGTCCAGAAATAGTTGAATCTGATATCCTTCTCAAGCCTATTGAAAGAAAAGGATATAATGATTATCCATTTTCATTGCTCATCTTATGTTGAAGTTGCTGGAGAGGATGCAGACCTTGAAAAAAGGGAACCGACCCGACGTAGCCGCCACAGTCTGAGCATATTGAGTATTTTAAAACCAAGGTTGTTCCCACTGCCTCTGAAGAGAAGGCTGATTGCTTGAAATGGAGCCGTCGATAAGATGTCAAAGATAAACCAGGAGGATAGATATCTGCCTGGTCAGGTTGTGTTAATACAGTATATCATGAACTTTCCTAATGATTACTATGCTTCTGGAACAAGAAATAGCTACAAGTCACATAACTAACCTGGCTGCAATCCTCTTTGGGTCATCAATTAAGAGATATGATTTACGATCAAGAAAAGCAACAAAAAAGGTTACAATAATATCAATTGCAAAAAAGCTATTCAGGATGTTTTCAACCCAGAAAAGTTTGGCTGGCAAGTATCTCAGAAATGCTAGCTCAAAAGGACAGATCCAGGCTGAATAAATAACCAGGAGAACCAGGAACATTTGCCATGCTCTGAGGACAGAAGACATAAATGGAGAATGTATTAGCTGGTTATTCTGTTTCTGTATTGATGAGATTAGGATGTGCAGCGGAAACTTCACCTGTAATGAGGATCATAGGGTGATATCATAAACTTTCTAAGCTTGATTGATTGGTTAATATTTGCTCCCAAAGATGGCAGGAGATCACTGGAGAAGCTGTAGCTGCTGCTTTCCTCCTGGAACCCATCATAACAGAACTGCTGAAGGTAGGATTTTGCACAAAAGAGGACCATGTTTGCTTTGGGATGATATGTGAAGCTAATGTGTATGGTGAGTGGAGGAGTGATTATATACAGCTGAAGGCTATGTTCAGTTGATTATGGGTTAAAATAAAGAAAAAGGAAGATTTAGAAAAAAGTGAAAAGCAAAGTCAGTTAGTTTCGGGCATTGACAGAGAGAACGGGAATTTTCAAGATATGTGCTTGATGTAAGACTATAGGCAGTGTTAAACGTGCATATTTTAGGTGCAGAACATTTGTTGGTTAGTTAATTAAGAGGATGGTGGTATCATAATAAATGGATGCCTGTCTCTAATGACCATAATAATACAGGTCCTGAAGCATGAAAACTAGTCTATAAAGAAATTATCATTATTACTGATGCTTGTTAGTTTTGTCAGGGTCTTGGGAGAAGGCTGGGATTGAAAACTGACTTAGGTTCACCAAAATTTACCTCAAAATCCATGTGAAGGCAACTTCCCAACATCAGGCATGTAAGTGACCTCTGATTAGTTATACCCGTTATGGTTTAACAATGTGGTCCAATAAGCACCATTTGATCTCTGAACAAAGCATCTCTTTCTCTTTCTTATGTAGTGGGTTTCAATATGTTCTCTTGCTGATGGGAATCAATTTATGGCTGATAATTAAAATTTCATCACACTCAAATATTTTCATTGCATAGAGGATATTGAAGTAGGTTTTGTGGTTTCCCAGAAGAAAAGTTGTTTCATAATCCTGAATTTAATTCTTGCAGAAGATGCTTTTGAATATGAAAGGATGCCAATCAAACTAGTCTAGAGATTCTTCAAACTAGTCTAAAGATTCTATCTTGTACCGTAATTTCTAGGACAACTGTCAGGAGGAGGATTTTTTGGTTTTTTGGCCTTCAGGTAGACTCACAGCTACAGGAGCCTGATGAAATTCAGTGAAATGCTTTGCGAATTATACTTAATATGTCACGAGGGGTTTGTCCAATTTAAGCTACTGTCTGGATCAAATTAGGTGTTTCTTAATCCACATGTATGTGAATAAATTCAGAAAGCAGCCTGGTTTGTCACAGGACCCTCAATGATATTGAAGATCTTTGATGTCACAGGTATGGCCAGAAAATGATTAAAGCAGAACCCAGGAGGATGAAAACATAGTGTTGCAGTCTATGGATTCTTCTGGAATTAATTGGTCATTGAACAAATCATATCTTGCAAGATAATTGGTTTGAGTTGCTTTTAGCTGAATCTTTAACGGTCAATCTTGCCATCTTGATTACTTTGATTGGGGTAGGTAAGAGTAAAGAAATTCAGGAATCAGCTTCTTTGTCTTGTTATCTAGTTGGTTGCTGGCTAAGTTGCATCTCAGCCTCGTGGTTTGATGCTCACCATTTAGAAGGTCATCTATATGGCTTATAATTTCAGTAGCGTAATAAACAGATGTATGGATCAGCTCTAACACCATCACTGGGTATCCTGAAATCTGCTGATTTGACTTCATTTACACCTATTCTGACTCTACACGGACAAACCAAGGGGGAATTTAGTGATGCTTTACAATCGAACAAACATTGTGCTGTTTGATATGGTCTCTTGATTAGCTGTTATGTTTTTTGTGTCCATTCGCTATGTTTCTCTTCCTTATAATGTGGCAGTTGTTCAACTCATGCATGATGCATATTCCAGGATGCCTTCCTGGAGTCAAGAATCAGATGATCTACACCTTCCAGGGAAGAGCAAGAGAACAGAAAGTAATCTGCATCTTTGAATTGAACTTGTTTTCATGGTCACATCTATTTTTTCACATGAATCAAGCTGTCCTTCTGGAGTAAGAGTCATGGAATTTTGTGATGGATATTCCTATTCCATGGAGCTTACAGTTATATGACACGTTTGGATCTTGTATAATTATGCTGCTTTGTTGTCTAAATTAAATTGCACCACAGGTCATGTCGTTCTTATGAGGTTATGTTTTATTTTGCTGCTTCTTGAGTGCAGGGCTGTTCGTGAAAATTCTTATGCTTTTTCTTTTCCTTCTGCAGGTTGCTGATGGATTGCCTCTGTGGATGTCACTTGCCTTATCTTCTGGGTAGGTTTTTGTTGGAGGCTCATCATCCCCATCCCAAGAGGTTTGGTGGTCGTTCATCTCAAAAATTAAAAGTGATTGTGCCTTCATGTCATAATCTTCATTTCTTTTGGGCCATGGCTTAATTCTCTAGTCAACCATCATTCTTGTGGATTCCTTTTGTCTTCTATTCACCTCCTTTTTGGCTATAAGATTAGAGGTAGTCATCTTGATATTTTTAGAATACACTTGATTGTTCAGAAATATTGCAGAGAGAGACACAGAGAGAGGTCTCTTGAATGTCGTTTGTGTAAACGACGAATCACAACAGTGCTTTGAGATGTAGATTTGCTTAGTCTTGCTCAACAATATTCCATTCGTGGACAAGAGAATCAAAACCATTCTTATACTGTTCCATCCATGATCAGAAGCATAAAAACCTTTCCTGCTTGACTGAAACTCTTGTTAACATGGCCAAACTATAGCCTTGTTCCTTGCTACATCTAATTCCCTTGGCCAGCATGCATCAAATGCTTGTCATTTTGCTAGTGAAGTTGTGCTACCGGAGCTTTCAAATTTGAATTACCTGGCATCTGATTCTGCTTCATCTTCTTTCCTTTCCTTTTCAAGAGTAGCAGGAAGATCCCCACTGTGCTTATCACTTCTAGTTCAATGCTTGACCATTTTCTCACCAAGTATACAAACCTACTGACTTTTTTTTTTTTCTAAGAAACAAAAAGGAAACCAATCACTGGGCCAGGGTTTTATGATTGATCATCAGTTTTGCTGGATAGATTGATTGGTATTAATTGTTGGCATTTGTTTCTGCTCCACCTTCATCACGTTTGGAGAAATTTTAGTGCACAACTAGCAACTGTGACCTGCTCTTTTCATTATCCAGTATCACATCTTGACTCTTTCACAAGATTAAGTGTTGCACAGAGTTTACACAAGAATTGCTCAAGTTATAAAACCTGTTTTAGTGATACAAGTAACCTCAAATTGTAGCTATGGTGATGGGGGAATAAAGCATGGATAAAGGAGAAAGGCATGCTTAGCCAGAAAAGTACCTTAAGCTACGTGCCCTTTCCTCATTGATTGTAGCTTTCCAAGAAAAAGCCAAAAATTCTCATCTCCATACCTTTAGCCAGAGATTGGCCAAGGAGATGGGGGAAATTGATCATCTTCGCCAGTTACAGTGGCAAATCCCTAATTTGACCACCTCACTAAGGCCATGGCATAAATTTAGGTGGGAACCATGAACTTTCTAGCTAGAGAACATGTAGAGGACTTTGAATTTGCCTTTGAAACATGCCTTCCTTTTTACTCGACTTTTAGAAAGAGAACCCCAAAGAGTGACTGGTCACAAACTGTTCAGGATTCCTCCAAGAAGAATCATAACACTCGTAAGTCAAACTATCCCCAGGGATCTCGAACTGGGAGGGCGCCGACCATGTGTTCATGGGTGCCCACAACCGTGAATTGATGCTGCTCTAGCTAAATCTGAACATTATATAGATTTGTGGGTGTATTTTTCTTTTGACAAAACCACAGGCCATGACATGTTATCTTGCTTAGCTACTTGATTTCTTGGTAGGTTTGATGCACAAATAAGAATAAAGCCTTCCAAGCCTGGTGTTCACTTTTCGCCCACAACAGGCTTCTCATTGTGTGGTTAGGCACATCAGGATTCTGAGAGAGGTTGCATCAAAAAGTCGAGAGCAAGCAAGTTAGGGCCATGTACAAGTGACTCTATTTGCATGCTTTATAGCGACCTTGTCTCTAATTAATGTGTGTGCTGGTCCTCATGTTTTGCGTGAGCAGTCGCATGGTTTGCTGCATAAGAATTCTTCTCCATACATTTGGCATCTTAAAGCAAAAAGTATTATGGAACTGTATTGAATGGTACTCTTTTATTTTATCGGCATCTCACCGTCCTTTAAAGTTTTAATCAAATCAATGTATTAGTAGAATGATGGTTTATGTCTAAAATGATTATTGGCATCTCACTTTGTTGATCAACCACTTGTTTTATCTGCGATTGATGAGAAGAAACCTAAGTCAAGCTATTCCATATTGAACTTAATTCATGCTCATGGTATTTGTCATGCATGTGTAAGCAAATTACATATTTGTCACGTTAATAATGTTTTTGTTGATAGAGTCATGGTAATATTGCTGTTATATTTGAGTCACTTGGTTGGCCTCTTCTTATGGAGGTCAAATTACTTAGGTTAACTTTTCTCTGGTTATTGTATCTATAAATATGTTTGCATATGGAGAAAGTGAAATGTTGACCAATTTCTTGAGTCAAATCCTTCCATCATTAATTTAGTGACATGCTGGTCCAATGATTTGCAATACAGATAAGTGAACCATCATTATTCCATTGACAATCATTAATGATTTGTTTGATGATATATCATATATATGATATGTTGCAGTAGATTAATGAAATCATACATGTATGTAGCTGTCAAAATCTTCCTTGAAGGTGTGTTGTCATTGTCCACTCGCATATCTTGCTTTGGCATGAAATCCTTAATGTGTAAAGTAGGGAATAAAATACTCATAAATCTAACGCTTCCAAGCATGTGTCTCTCTCCGTTAAAAGTCTAAATTCACTTTACTGAGAGGGAATTGCTGAAATGTTCCCACTCTTAAGGGCTTTGATGTAGGCTTCTGGTGTTCCAACCTTCTCACTGCTTTCATCTTTACAGCCCAACACAATAGAGAGAGAGAGAGAGAGAGTCCCTATCAGGGCCAACCTTATTCCCTGTGGCAATGGTCTGAGCTTCTCTGCAGCTCGATGTCAGGATTAAGGCCACTACTGCTCAATCTGTGACCACAGCTTTTGTGTACAACTTTAAATCCTATGGGCACAATGTCAGGAAACAAAAGTATGAAAGAGTTCTATTTTATTTCCTTATTTGAAGTTATAAGACTTGCACTGGGATCATATTAATCGTTTGTGTTACAACATATTGTTTGCTATGGTTCCTCAGATAAATTTACCTAAATTTTTTATTTAGTTACAACCAGCTAAAACAACTTCCTTGCTGGTGCTATCGAAGAAGATATCAAATCATCTTTTTTATTATAATACACACATCATTTTAGCAATGGTCAGCAGTGAACATATATGTGGAAGCCATGCCTCAGGTTTGCAATACTCATCTGTAACTGGAGGATTGAAATCAGTTTAAAGCTAAGCCACATGTGAGTTGGAAAAGTGAAAGGATTGTTCTATTTTGTGACTGTTGGATCTTCTATAGGTTTATTTTCATGTATAGCTGAGATAGAAAATATTTCTCCTTAAAGGCCTCATTTTTCAAGACACAGTCTGCCAAGACATATGTTCATAGGAAAGAGGATGCAAGTATTAGCATGAGAGAGTAAGGAGGGAACTGGATGATACAGGTCAGTTGCAAGGTTTGGTTTTTTCCCTGCAGCTTCCTAGCAAGTGCAAGATTCCAGGAAGTTTGATTAGGTAGCATTAATGGTGTGAAATAATTGAATCTGATGGTACATGCCAATAGCAACTGGAAGATTTAAGTGAAGCTCAAATCTTTGCCATATAGACTGTTAGCAGACCCAGAAATATCTTGATTCTTTCTGGCTTAGGACATTCTGTGATCACTAAGCTGCATATGTTCCTGTTGCTCTGTTGGCTTATATGGTCAAGAATGCCCAGAAGCCAGCAAGTTTGCATCTCAGACCCTGAAGATTTCATTCTCCAGAGCAATTAAAACCAAGATAGTAACAGCTTGGTGCATGCAGTTTGACAGATCTCCATCTTCTTCTGGGCAAGTTCTAGAGGAAACTGTACTACATAAAATTTCAGTTCCTTTGATTCTTAGTCCATATGAACAAACTGAGTGGTAATGACAGGCAAAGACTTGGATGACCATGATGATCAGTGTAAGATCATCACTGGTAGGACAATGAATTGTGGAGAACTTCCTGCATAGGAGGCTTCCTGTGGTTTTCTTCCTCCTTGTTCCTTTTTTATCCCCTTTTTCTTCCTGCATAAAATTTTTGTTACCCTTTGCTGTCACTCCTATCACTGTTTTTCTTACATTTTCTTTCTAATTGTATCTTTTTCTGTTGTACATATTAATTTCAAACCTTATAAAAGGCATTCACAGGATTTCTTTTTTTCTACTATGGAAATTGTCATCCATTTTTGGCTTTTTGTTTCTTTGAGAATAAGGAAGAGGTGACCCAACCATGAGAGTTAAGTGTGTCAATACTTAGTACCATCTCCACAAGATTTAGAACCTCTTCAAGATGAAGAGATTAACCCACCACTTCAACAAGACCTGATTAATTAACAATTTTTTTTGTCAGAAATATTACTTAAATTGTTACTTTATTTTCTATTTAAACTCCAAGAATCTTGCTTTCCTATGCAAAAATTAAGATGTTGCTGATCAATTCCAGCTTAAAAGAGAAACACATGCCTGAGTGTGGATGGATCAGACATGATTTCAATGGATTTAAGTCGTAAAATGCTCTGTGAATAAGCTGAATTGTTCGGTGTTTCGCGCAAACGAAAACCGAATTATGCAAAGCCAAAAACTGTACCTGGGATCAGAAAACTAAGGCTTTGCTTTTTCGATCAGGATAATTAATTATGTCATGGTCATTCATTCCATGACACTAGAATAATTTATTTGGTCTTGCTTGATTGATCATCAATGGCGATGTTCTTATTTAGAACTGTGTTTAACCTCATCTATTCATTTAGAACTGTGTTTAATCTGCTATGCAATTAAGTATGGACTGATTAATTAGGTACCTGAAAGAAAAAAGTGAATTTGCTGAAACAAACACTTTCATCTTTTCCATTGAGATCATATTAACTACAAAGCTGATGATATGTGCCAGAGCAAGTCAGGATCACAGTCTTTATCCCATCCCATATCTCATAATCAAGCCTGTGCTAAGGAAGGATGATTTCCTTGGCTAAGTTTGGTAAGTTGCCATAGATAAGCTTCAAGTTTCCTTAGTATCATTATGCTTTTATACTCCAAAGCAAGAGGGGGTGTTCATTTGGCATGCTTCTTGCCAACATTGCTGCACTCCTCCCCTGTTATGGAAGGCTCAAGAACTGATGAATTAGATGGCTTACACAGCATCACTAACACTTTTGATTTTCTCTTGATGAAAATATTATTTCAGAATAGATATGCTGCTGAAATGTACACTTGGGAGGAAAGAGGCAAAAGGTTGTGAGGTGTTGCTCAATGCTTCTTCTGTGCTCATGAAGTCAAATAGTGCTTCAATTCTAGGTAAGAAAGTACATTAATACATATCTTCATGTGCATAGTGGAATAATTAGCTTCATTAATACAAATATCTTCTGCTTGTTTTCTGAAAATGATATACTTCATCACCATGAAACCTCTCATTCCACATCACACATCACCAATATTTTACCACCCTGTGATTATTTTGTGGCTGTCAAAATCATATCAGGAGAATGTGTTGAACGCATATATGCCATGAGCCAGACCATTTCACCCTGTATCATTGCACATCATTCAGAAGCCAAGTAGAAGGAATATTAAACTATCTGCAGTTTGAGATGATCATGTTCTTTCTTTCACCTTATCAAATTACAAATCAAGTTCTCCGATCAAGACAACCTTAACCCATCCAGTCTTTGTGCAGTTCATTAGAACAGGAGCATGATCGCTTGCGTCGGAGAAGCAGAGATGACAGCTAAAGCCTAGAACGGTTCCTAAAGCTTCAAGTTGAGATCAATGCCGTCCGCTGCTTCTCCTCTCCTCTCGCTCGGTGTTGCCTCAGTGCAACTTGGACCCATGGGTAGGAAACTGTAGAATGGTTGCCCGTGAGAAGAGCAGCCATTACCCGAGCTTATCTGCAACACACAAACCAGATTAATGGAGGGAGGAAGAAGACGAAGTAAATGCTACTCTTCATCGACAAACAGAAACAAAATGCACTGCCCTCTTGCCTGGCTAAGAGGTAAACCTAAATCAGAATGATCATGCTGATAGAACGATGGGTTGTCGAAGGACTTGGCGACTGGTGTCGAAAGAGAACCCATGCTGAGAAAACTGCCATCAGTAGAAGTGCCTCCTCTGAGATGAAACATATGTACAGATAGGCTCAGTACGCATACATCGATGGAATGGCAAGAGTAAAATGTCAAAAGGGATGCAAGCACCTAAAGCCAGCTCTTTGGACTTCCTCTGGCTTAGGACATGAGTTGGAGAACGAAGGCAGTTTACAGGGGTAGGATGACTGGGTGGAGACGCCGTCGAGATGTAATTGCCATGGCCGCTTCATGCCAACCATCTATACTACATTCTAGCGGAGCTCACGATTAGCGTACGAAGCAGAAGAAGGAATCTGACGAGAAGAAGAGCGGTCTGATACGTACCCTCTCCTGCTCTCGCCAGCACGAGGGCAAGTCGGAGCTATTGGGATTACTTTGGTTTGAAGGGGGCTCTATCCGAAGATTAACTCCAGAAGACATAGGCGACGACGCCATGTTCACCTGCAGAGTAGCTTAGACGTGGAGCCCTGTTCAAATCCATGCAAATATGAGGGGGGTAATGAAGGTCGATTCTCCTCACCAATGTGGCCGGTGACTGCTGCTTCCGGCAACTGACGTGAAACCCGAACCTGGTGGCGACAGCGTGGCCGTCAGTTGGGTACGGATCGACGGCGTTCCACAGGAGTGGCAGAACTGCGTGCTTGGCCGATGATTCAGACGCCGGCGGAGGCTGTGCAGGACCGACGAGGTCCGCGGTTGTAGCTGAGACGGGGACGGAAGCTTTGAGCAGGACGCGGGGTCTCATCACGCCTTCGTTGGATAGGAGAGGGACGTACGGGTGCTGCGATGGATCGGATGAGGAAGACGCGGCGTTCTTCTGCTGCTCTTCGAGGCGGAGCTTCTCCAGCTGGGCGACTCCGAGGCCGCGCTGCGGGATCTTCTTTTGCTTCGGCTTCTTCACTGTTCTGATTCCGGCGACGCAGGAACCATCTCGGCCGGCGCTACTCCTGCGTTGTTCATCCAGTACCATTCTTCTCCTTTGTCTTCCCTCTGCTCCTCCTCCTCCTCTCTTATCTGTGCTTGTGCTGAGAAACTATGAGGCCACCCGCGCCATTACCGCCACTCCAAGGCATGCTGGCTTCCGGAACACGTACGTGAAACGACAAAAGGACAAGAAGCACAGGAGGATGAGGATGTAAGACGAACGAGATGGGGAGAAGGAAGGGGATCCTGACGCAGAGAAACAAGGCAGGAGATCTATGTGTGGAGCTCAAGATCTCGCTAAAACCGGCTAAGATTGCATTGTCTGAGGGGTGGAGCGTACGTAGGCGGGTGAGGTGGGATCCAAAGAGCTGTTTGATCGAATCTTTTCTCCTCAGTTGTTATCGCCCAAATCGTCGCTCCACTCCCCCCCCCCCCTCCGATCCTTCAGACCAGCCTTTGCGGGAGGATCTCTCTCTCTCTCTCTCTCTCTCGCACGCGCACACACACACACACACACAGACACACTGCACTGCACCCTCCTCTTATTCCTCCTCAGGTTCTTCTTCCTCCTCGCAGGATCCAGCGAGCCACTCCCCCTGTCTGTATGACTTCCTCGCAGAAATATATGGCATTGATGCACTGGAAGGATCCATCCTCTAACATACGTGAGACATCACCTTCCTACACACCCGAAAACGCCTTGAACTGCACTCTCTCCCTAATCTTAGAATCATCCTCAAAGATATGGTCCCTCATGTCAGTGATCTGAGGGTGCGTACTTCTAATTAAGATCGAACACATAAATGCACTTCCCATACATTTGATCCCAAGGATGGCTATTCTTAGTATGCTTATTTAGTGATTTTATTACCACACCTATGGAAAAATATTTTGGAAATCGAATATGAGATCCCTAACCGATTATTTCTTCATTACTCGAATCATTAGATCCGCGTATTGAGGATTAGATATGTTCTAACGCAAGTACTAATTAGGATTTACATTGATGAGATTTAGAGATAGATGCGTGGCAACCATGCGAATCTGAGATCTCATCGAAGCATGGCCTCTTGGGATTCACCTTTCGATGTGGTCCATTGGCTGACTCCCACCACCATGCATCCATGGCATGTGATCATCCATTTCCTTTGGCCGCACACCATGTGGATCCCAACAAGATTTGGTTGTTAGATATACTCTTGTGAAAAATATAGTGGTTGGATATACTGATGATGCATACACAATAGATTGAGGAGGGGATACATCAAAAGCTTCTCCCCAATGCCTCTTGATCTGTTTCCTTGGTGAAATAGAAGTACATTGTGTGCCTGCTTGCTTCACGCTACACTCTCGTCATACCCACACACTTGTATGTGTGGGTTTGATGTGACACAAAACTGGATGGCACAATAGGAAATGACTTGAGTATTAATTCTCTTCTTGGAAGTCCTAAAATCAATCACACCCACAAATAAAACACAAAAATTGTCATATGTGATGAACAGATCAAAAAGCAGGCATCCACAGCTTGGTGGCATTCTAAAAGGCCAAACAAAGAGAGTAAATTCCTAGAACTAGACTTCACACAAGTGAGCAAGATTAGGTTTGTGTGGGCCATGAAAGAATCAGGTACCTCAATTGGCTTTCACACTGCACCTCATTCCCATCTTGTCCTTAGTGAATAATAATCCAAGTAGGAAGGACCATTTTATTTCATTGGGTGTTTGTACTAACCTAATATTAACTAAAATTGGTGAAAATTTCATGTCTTGGTGCCAAAAACAAAAACGCACTAAGCCTTGCCTTTGCATCAAACACATGTGTGGTAGTATAGAAGGGCTTGACATGTATATGTTTGTCAAATTTTGTGTGGTAAAACAAGAAAAAATAATAATGAAAGAGAGAGGGAATATGTTCACAAGTTTTGTGTGGTTATGAGCAATTTGTTTGATGATTGATTGGATCCATGGATGTTAGGTCAAGGAATGGATTGGATTTAATGGACATAATCCAATCATCCTAATTATTTAATATTTTTTATTAATGATATTTTGTATCTTTTATGAACTTCTTTCTTGATATAAAAAATTTTATACACACATATATAGAGAAGAAAATATATCAATCAGGAATAAACTTATTTTCCTTTTTAATTAAATTTAAGATATATATATATATATATATATATATATATATATATATATATATATATATATAAAGTTAGCCTTTTCTTTTTCTCTTTAGTACCCTCTTAACTTGGTGCAGTGCATCATCATCACACTATAAATCTTAAAGTCCAGTCTTAGCAATGAAGGAGCCTCAGCTATGCTTCTTTGTATGTGTTGTTTGGTCCCCCGGGCATCAATCCCCTAACTGGCTTACCCATGTGGCCCTAACACGAAAGCAATGCCACCAATGACTTCTTGTGCCAAATTGGAAGGCAATGTGGCAGATCACCACCCTGTGTCATACCCCACAGTTCATCTTTGGTGTTGGTATTCATGGACCCTGCTCTCTGAATGGCCATGCCAAACAAGGGGTTGTCATCATGTGGGCAAGGTGTTTGCAGACATGCCTTCAATGCATCCACCACCCCAATGTGGCAGGTCACTCACATGCAGCTCATGGATGTCTCAGGTTGTCACTGACATGGGCCAGGACCAACCATAGCATGGAGGTGGAAGAAGAAGACGAAGAAGACAGAACCCCCCCCCAATCCATGATGTGTGTGTGTGTGTGTGTGAGAGAGAGAGAGAGAGAGAGAGAG